AATGTAGTAAGGATGATTAGAAATTTAAAAAAATCGACTAAATTTCTATTAGTTGTGTCCGCGGAATTCTCGGAAAGTTGTGTCGCGATGGGAATAAAAGGGAGATAAACTCTGTATCTCTTAGACAAGTCGTTGACACGATTGAATGAGCTCCCTTAGCTTGGCCAAGGTTGACACTAGATAATAAAAGGGACGTAACTGATGCAGAAAAATTCTAGCAATGTATGCTTACTCCTCAGCGGTATAATTAATTAGACTGTCTCCCCTGATTTCATCTCATCAGGTCCTGATATATTCGCAGGCAGTGTAATGCGTTTATTTATCATCTTCTTGTTAACACGATTGCCTCCCTTTTGATATTGCACAAAATTAGCATTGCGATATTAATATTATTATGGCACTGCAGTGTTTCTTTCAGGAAACTCTCTACTGGGGTGGGGACACTGAACCCCGTAGAAAGTCAATTGCCCCCCCCCCCCTTTCTAAGAAAAAATGTGTACAACTAAGAACGATTAAATTTTTTTTTTTTCAAACGACTAAATTTTTAGTTTTATAACATTCTTAAACAGTAGAGAAACTTTTTATTAATATTATTATGGCACTGCAGTGTTTCTTTCAGGAAACTCTCTACTGGGGTGGGGACACTGAACCCCGTAGAAAGTCAATTGCCCCCCCCCCCTTTCTAAGAAAAAATGTGTACAACTAAGAACGATTAAATTTTTTTTTCTTCAAACGACTAAATTGTTAGTTTTATAACATTCTTAAACAGTAGAGAAACTTTTATCCTTTCACCGACTACATTTAGTTGAACCAATGAAAGATCGATACGTCCGATAACTTGGATCATCCGTAAATTTGAGGCAAATCTTGATTACCGCCTTGCAGTATTAGACTATTAACATCGTATTGTTTGGGAAAGTGACCGCTTCTGATTATAAGCCGAAGGTATACTTCCCGTTGTTTGCATTTATCCGTATTTTTATTATAATTATTATTTTGAAACTTCACACATTGAAAGACTTGAATAACATGGCATCAAACTAGCTTTTCATCAACAGATAGGTCTATCAATTTAATATAGCTTTGAATAAGTATCAAACATTGCCAATGTGTATTTAAATCATATTTCATCCCAAATCATACCTTTTAATTCATGCAGGGTAGCGTGGTGATTATACATTGTGTGATGGCATCATGGCTTAAAAACTATCGTTATTAGAAATAATTTTAAAAGTACTCGATTCCATGATTTTTAACTAGATAAAATGACAACTTTAAGAAATTGATTATTGTTTTTTATTTTTTTTAAATAAGCGCACATCTTATCAATTGTTATTTAATTGAAAGCGTTTTTGAAAAATGATTTGTGTTAATGTTCTATTGTCTTGGAACATCTTCCTAATATATATATAAAATATATATAAAATTACAAGCTTTTCTCTTTATAATATAATAATAATTATAAACAATTTGGGTCGCGTATTTAAACGCATTAAAAAGAAAAAAAAAAGTTTTCTTGTTGAGATTCCCCACACCGAATTTAGAAAAAAAACGAATTGTTTTTGTGACCGATCATTTCAATTATAATAAAAATATTCTTTTTTTTTTATTTTCTAAATCGATAATATTAAAATAAATTATGGGATTTTTTAAAAAGAAATTGGGATAAAATTTGGCGAAGATGCAATTTGTGCTTTGTCTGAAGAAATAATCCTTTCAAACAACTGGATATTTATAAGATTTCCTTCAGATAAATTTGTAATGTCTCATGTAAATGCATTATTTGTTTCTTAATAAAATTTATGCAATTCTTAAAAGATTTATATTTATGATAAGTTTTACAGACCCATTAAATTGTATAGACTTTTCTATCAGTGTTTTATTTTTAGAAATGATTCGATGTGATGTAAACGTTATGGACGAACTTTTCTATCAAACATTTTTTTTTAATGTAAAGTAGTTTATCCAAAATATAGTTTAAACTAACAGTTAAAAAACACTTTACTATTAAGCAATACCTTCTTCTTTAAAAAAGCATATTACAATACAACAAACTAAAGCTAAGCCATCTGCCGCATGGCTTCTGGGGACACCCTGTCACTATTCGTTTTTCGGCACCCCTCCCCCCCCCCAACACTCCGCTTTAAAAGTTGTTGATAATTAAACCTATTTCCACAACACAACGTTAAGCTCCTCATTTGACAAGGCCTCATGCAGCTGCAGGGTTGGCAGGTTGGCAGGNAAGTAGTTTATCCAAAATATAGTTTAAACTAACAGTTAAAAAACACTTTACTATTAAGCAATACCTTCTTCTTTAAAAAAGCATATTACAATACAACAAACTAAAGCTAAGCCATCTGCCGCATGGCTTCTGGGGACACCCTTTCACTTTTCGTTTTTCGGCACCCCCCCCCCCCCCCCAACACTCCGCTTTAAAAGTTGTTGATAATTAAACCTATTTCCACAACACAACGTTAAGCTCCTCATTTGACAAGGCCTCATGCAGCTGCAGGGTTGGCAGGTTGGCAGGGACCATGCAGCGGCAGGGTTGGCAGGGACCATGCGGCCGCAGGGTTGGCAGGGACCATGCGGCCGCAGGGTTGGCAGGGACCATGCGGCGGTTCTGTGGTCACGTGACATCTTCGTTTTTAGATACTAAATTCAGGTATGTGCTAAAATCCATTTTTGCATTTTGAATTTATCAAAACTTTTTTAAGTTGGGGGGAGGGGGGCTCAGTGAGCCCGTCTCGATGACCATTCCTCAGATTTTACTCAGTTTCTTCTTACACCATTGCCTCACAGAACTCAATGAAACAGTAAGGGGCTGTATCTAAGCTTGTGCCGAAAGATTCCCTAGTGCACGCCACAACCCCATAGCATTCAGTTTATGTTTGGCACAGGCCACCATGATGCTTAACGGTCAAGCTGATAGATGCCGACCCAACCGGACGTTCGAAAAATCCCTTTCCCACAGAAATTATCTAATAGAAGCACTGTGTACGTCCCGAAGCACCTCCGGATTTTGATTTAATCAAATATTTTTTTCTGGGAGGCTCTCCCCCATAGCTCACCCCATTTACCTCATGAGCTAACGGTGCTCTCCGTTTACGTCCACTTCCCCATAACAAAGACAGAGTTGCTGGCCCTGATAGATCAATACACTGCCTAGTGGCGTAGCTAGTGTAGTGCCGCACTGCGCGGGGAGAGTTGTGTTTTTTTCCGCGCTCCCTTCCACGATACAAACTCCGCAGTTGTCCGAAAATGCCACCCTTCCATAAAAAGACAACAAATTACCTCTGGATGGACCCATCCCCCCCCCCAACTTCCTCCCCATGCCCCTAGCACAGGGGATATTGTTTCAAACGTCGTGCAAACGGCTGATATGGACGGTGCCAAGTCGAACGACTCAGCTCTTAAAATAACAGCAGTCTCACTTTCTCCAAGAACTGTCCTAACCTCCATCTTTCTTTTTACAACCTCTCGAAGTGGCGCATTTTTACATTTTTAATTTGGTTTTTTACATTTTTGCTTGTTTGTTGAGGCGCAAAGGTTAATTCTTAAAGCAGTGGTTCTCAACCTTTCTAATGACGCGACCCTTTAACACAGTGCCTCATGTTGTGGCGACGCCTAACCACGCATTTTTTATCGTTGCTGCTTCATAACTGTTGGGTACATGTGTTTTCCGATGGTCTTAGGCGACCCTTCTTGAAAAAGTCATTCGACCCCCCAAGGGGTCGCGACCCACAGTTTGAGAACCACTGCATTAATGCATCATTGGTGATGTTCTGAAAATAAGCAGTTTATTGCCATTAAAATCAACAAAATTTAACAAATGATCCAGGCCTATTTAGGATGGTGTATATATGTATAAATATATGTATATATATATATATNAGAGAGAGAGAGAGAGAGAGAGAGAGAGAGAGAGATCAAAGAAATATATAATTTTTGACGTCAATGTATTTTCTGTCCCCACCGCCCACCCCTTGTCAATAATTATCAAACTTCTTACGCCCCTCCCCCAAACCTCCCCCTAATGTGTTGACGGTATGTTGGACATTCAGTAGGTAAGTTGTCGGAGCAATCCCCAGAAGGTAAAGGGTAAGGATGAACTGTCTGAGCTTGGCGTCACTAACACTTAAAGAGTCATACAGATTTACAATAAAAATACTATTCACTGTGTTTACAGTCAAAAGTCGGTTGATTATTTTCCGCGACGTTTCTCTGTTCAGAAGTTATCCATTGAAAGGTGATGGATTTCAATACAAAACTTGGGTCTCCAAACTTGTGGGTCTCCAAACTTGTGGGTCTCCAAACTTTTGGGTCTCCAAACTTGTGGGTCTCCAAACTCGTCACGTCTTGGGAACTAAGTGCGCCGAGACTTCTTTCAGATGCTCAAATATTTAGAAGTGGTGAAATAGTTTATGGAACAAACCAGAGTCAGATTGAAAGAGGTCGATACTAGACAGAGAAACTTGCAACTAGAGAATCCTAAGAAGTGAGTCGGTGACAAGGGTCGATGACAAATTTAATGTGAATAAACCTTTTTATAAGTTACATCTGATAAACAGCTATTTCGAGTGTATGACATTGTAAGTCAGTGTTATTTTTTTATTAAAGATTATAACTACCTACCATATAATTGTTACAGTAACTACCTACCATATAATTGTTACAGTAACTACCAACTATATAAAATGTTACATAGTAAATGTGATTGAATGTTCATAACGTGCTTAAATTATTATTTTAAAAAAAATCAATTAAATATCAACTGACGATGGTAAAATTACATTTCGTTAAATTCATTACGCTCTTATAAATAAGTCATCAATTTATCAGGTCATTCCGTCTTGGTTATGGGTCCGTTTGAACCTAAACATGAGCCTAAACCTGGCTTGATACGAACGTGACGTCCCTTATCACCCAGTTTGTACATCAGAGTTCCACAAAGCTGACGGGCGCCTCGTCATGATGTTCAAGTAAAGACCCAGCTCCATGGGGGAAGAAGATGATCCAGGTAATCAGTCACTAGTTCAGTAAATAAAGGTCACTATTGGGAACAACTTAGACTTGACACACAATTCACGTCTTTTGCCATAACACAGACCACGGGTAAGGCTTAGGACATATAGGCTGTTCATGCCAGAAGGTAAAAAAAATAAACATCTTCTTCTTATATAGAATCACAAATGGTGTAGTGTAAGCTTGAATTTCTAATTTGTTTAGGCAAAAATAATTTTGAACAGAATTGTTTGAAATATTGTGTTCACTATCATATTTTGTCAAAACCTAATTAACATTGAATTATTTGTTGAAACCTGATTTCGCTGTGAATTATTTGTCAAAATTTAATTTCACGGTGAACCATAAGTTAACGTTTCAGAGCGAATTATAATTCTAAAAAATAATACTAAATATGACAATTTTAATATAAAATTTTAAAATGTCAAACATTTAAACTCAAAGTGTCATGATAATAATATCACTTTCGATTTAGATATGTATTTATATATAAATGATGTGAGTTATCATAATTTTTTTTTGGCTCGAATCTATAAAAACATTGATTTTCTATAGCCTCTAATCTAACTTCAAGATTCATAAGCCATGAAACTTTATGATTATTTTCATAATTTCTAAATGTGATATTTCCATGTCTATAAGAATCAAGGGAGCTCTGAGAGGTAGATCTAGTACCGTAGCGTCATCATGTCTAGTTCTGAAGACGAAAGGAAGGCTCTCCTTTCAGAAGGGGCAATTCTAGAAGCTCACCATTACATGGGCAATGACGCAACAGCTGTGCCTGTCAGTGACCTGGACCAAAGTTTTGGCGAGAGAAAGGTAATTACAATGTTGAAAAACAGTCATATCTGAAAGTCAAAGTCAAATGAATGTGTCAGTATGAGAACGTGTCGCTTCTTGTACTGTTTATACCTTTCTAAAGCAATGCTTCTCAAACTTTTAAGTATGATACACCAGTTGACAAGTTTCACATTCTACCAGCGAGTGGTGCTAGATTTATTATTTTATTTTTAAATTGACTTTAAAAACGTCATAAATATTTGTTAAACTGTGATCAGCCTTATAAAAGGCAGGCCCGTTCTTAGGCATACGCTGACTACACATCCACGTTAGGCCCTGAACGAGAGAGGGCCCCCGTGAGGCGCCCTCGATCCCCCGTTTTTAAAAAAAAACTTGCACTGCAGCCGTCTGTGTCACTCACGTTCCTCATCCTGAAATTTATTATTCTGAGTTGAATTCGGAGGCAGGGGAAGGGAAGCAGCAGGGGAAGCTTTGGGGGTGGAAGACAGGAAATCGGGGGCTTGGCCATCGGAATTGGAAAGTATAAATAGCGATCGGACCCACCCTTCCTGGGCCCCCAACCTACGCTCCATGCTTAGGGCCCCCAAACTCCTGAGAACAACTCTGCAAAAGGTCTATCAACAGTTAGTCTACGTCATACAAGCCGTAGTAAGTTCTTTTGAACGCATTTAAAAGAAAAATTACCCCCCCACCCCACTTATTTTTTTCCAAAGCTCACAACCTCCCTTTGTTCACGCCCTTGAACTATATCCATTTTTTAATGCCCCACCCGCTTTCAAACCGCAGATTTAGTGCACCAACTATGTCAGAAGAACAAAAGAAATTAACAAGAACCAACCGCACTTGTAATATTTTTTTTTTCTTCAGGAATCTCATCTAGCGCTGGGAAACCTGATCTTCTGCAGGTTGGGTTAGGGGGTGGGGCTGAAAATTTGAAATAATGGGTTGTCATCGGCAACGATTCTATGTACCAAGTTTCAGCTTGATAGGTTGTCAGCCACCCAGACAGTCGGTTTCCCACAAAAAAAAAAAGGAAGTTAATATAAAGGAGTTACTGTACCCATTTTATAACTATTGTGAAATGTGCTGTCCCATTGACTAAAAAATGGGAAATATTTTTTACATTTGACATGAATTCTGACACATGAGCTCTAAAAATTAACAACCATTGGTGATTCCCAGCCCCGAGCTAGACACACGTCCAGACTTAGCGTGGCGTTTGAAGGCAGTGGACTGCACAACATTTCCCTGGCCTGGAAGGACATCTCAGTGTCCGTCACAGTTCCTGGGAAGAAGAGTATCCTCAAACGGGAGTACACACCCCCCATAGAGAAACGGATCTTGACCAATGGTCAGTGTTTTATTGATTATTCCCCATTGTCAAACCTAAGCATACTTTAAGATCTATGACATGACTAACATTGGGTAAAGAGCATAATAACATAATCACATGACAGCAGCACATAACAGAACCACATAACAGAACCACATAACAGAACCACATAACAGAACCACATAACAGAACCACATAACAGAACCACATAACAGAACCACATAACAGAACCACATAACAGAACCACATAACAGAACCACATAACAGAACCACATAACAGAACCACATAACAGACAACATAACAGAACCACATAACAGAACCACATAACAGAACCACACAACAGAACCGCACAACAGAACCGCACAACAGAACCGCATAACAGAACCACATAACAGAACCACATAACAGAACCACAAAACAGAACCACATAACAGAACCACATTTCAGTAGGTACCGCTCTTTTTTTAAAACAAAACTGCATTCAATTCAAAAATTGTATAGCACATGTGTAACAAATGTACAACACGTTTATAGCACATGTATAACAAATGCACAACAAGTTTATAGCACATGTATAACAAATGTACAACAAGTTTATAGCACATGAATTACAAATGTACAACAAGTTTATAGCACATGTATAACAAATGTACAACAAGTTTATAGCACATGTATAGCAAATGTACAACAAGTTTATAGCACATGTATAAGAAATGTACAACAAGTTTATAGCACATGTATAACAAATGTACAACAAGTTTATAGCACATGTATAACAAATGTACAACAAGTTTATAGCAATTGTATAACAAATGTGCAACAAGTTTATAGCAATTGTATAACAAATGCATAAATATGTGCACTTGAAAGCTTGAGGTCTAAATCTTTATACCACTTTTAGTGTCAGGAGTTGCTGCACCTGGATGTCTGTTGGCGATAATGGGAGCCAGGTGAGTTGAAGGGATTTTGTCAGGTGATAGGGGCTGTTTACAAAGCATTTTTCATACTGTTTTGGAGAAATGAGGCCGTATATTCAGACAAATTCATATAATAATGTTGTTTCTACGTTTAAAAACTTTTGTCTTGTGTGTAATGTCTAGGACATGTCAAACAATCTTGACCTGAGTGAATTTAATAAATATTTGAGGATCCGGTTTCTATAGTTATGTGAATGATAAGATTGTCCTATCTTGAATGATTAGATTATTATATTTTGAATGAAAAGATAGTTCTATCTTGAAGTGCTCACCATCTACAGTGGCTCAGGAAAGTCTACGCTGCTAAATGTCCTGACAGCAAGGAACACAAAGTCCTACAACATACAAGGGGAGGTCATGCTCAATGGTGTATCGGTAAAACCTTTTCAACCATGTCTTTGAACAAAACACTTCTAATGAAATTTTGTGACCTAAAATTACTATCGAATTTTGTGACCTGACATTGAAATTTGAGAACTGTAAATTCTATCAAAAGTTGAGACCAGACAATGATATTGAAATTTTGAGACCAGACAATGATATTGAAATTTTGAGACCAGACAATGATATTGAAATTTTGAGACTAGACAATGATATTGAAATTTTGAGACTAGACGACGATGTTAAAATTTTAAGACCAGACAATGATATTCAAATTTTAAAACTGGATAACGATATTGAAATTTTGAGACCAGCCAATGATTTTGAAATTTTAAAACTGGACAATGATATTGAAATTCTAGAAAATACATATCTTTTGCTACTTTAAAGCAGGGAGTCTCAATCTCAAATCATCTGGGGGCCGCATGAGGTAGAGTCTGAGTGAGACTTGGCCGCAAAAAGCATTCCAAAATCAATAAAGTATAAACTGTTACAATGTGCTATACCATTATTAATAACAAATACAATCATAAAGGGTTCTCAAGAATTCAGCTTCACTTTCTTCCCCCCCCCCCTCCTTGTTGCCAGAGACCTGGCAGTGCTTCTTCTTACACAGCTGAGAAAAATTTGGTTTGAGTAAGGAAGCAACGGAGGCCCTCGGTATAACTTGAAGATGCTCATAAGTATGTTTGGCCTTGATCTTTGCCTAGTTAAAGTTCATAATGGAAAAGAGCTTTTCACACAGATAGGTACTCCCCGAAAATTCACATGAACCTGGAAATCTCAGTGAATGTGGAGGACAATGGTCTCATAAATTGACCAGGCTTGTCTCGTTTTCCACTCACCTCCCTGAACTTAAAATTGCACTGAAGATCAATCAGCTCTACACTGAAGATCAAAAAGGTGTTGGGGGCATCTTCTAAATTAAAGAGAAAGGGTAAGCAAAAAGTTCAAAAAGGTGTTGGGGGCATCTTCTAAATTAAAGAGAAAGGGTAAGCAAAAAGTTCAAAAAGGTGTTGGGGGCATCTTCTAAATTAAAGAGAAAAGGTAAGCAAAAAGTTCAAAAAGGTGTTGGGGGCATCTTCTAAATTAAAGAGAAAGGGTAAGCAAAAAGTTCAAAAAGGTGTTGGGGGCATCTTCTAAATTAAAAAGAAAAGGTAAGCAAAAAGTTCAAAAAGGTGTTGGGGGCATCTTCTAAATTAAAGAGAAAGGGTAAGCAAAAAGATCAAAAAGGTGTTGGGGGCATCTTCTAAATTAAAGAGAAAAGGTAAGCAAAAAGATCAAAAAGGTGTTGGGGGCATCTTCTAAATTAAAAAGAAAAGGTAAGCAAAAAGTTGAAAAGTGGCTGTGTGTGTTTTGAAGTCTTAAAACATGTGACAGAATTCTTGCTGTAGCTTTGCAATGGCATCAGTAGGTACAACAAAATGGTGTGCCCGAGTCCATGAGTGCTTTCAATGTTGGGCAATGGCTTAGGTTTCTTTAATGAACCATAACACAAGTTTTGTGCGTACTGCCCTGACATTGTCATAGGAAACAATGACAAGCTATCCCCTGGCCTGGAAACTGCTTATTAAATACATTCAGCTCCTGTGTAATGTCAACAAGAAAAGCCAAATCCATGAGCCATTTGGGATCACTTGGTATAGGAGCAACCACCCCATCTTTCTCCATGAAGGCTGTAAATTCTAAAACCTGTTCAAACAGTAGACAGTAGCAGGCAATATGTATGAAGTATTGATGTGAAGGAAGATGCTATTGTAGGGAGAATGACTTTTGATTTTTTTTTTTAATCGTAGAAAAGGCCTTTTTGACTAACCCCATTAAAAAGTGACCAAGCTGACAGGCTCGGAATTTCTCTCACTCGTAAACACTAGCAGCAATTTGAATAGGCATTCTTTGATACTGTGTCAGATTGCTACGATTTACACACTTATAGTTGTGCATTTTCCACTAACTGATTATTTAACTTTTCTCAAAACCGCACTTTGGCCATGTTTGTCTCATAAAATACTATATAGTAAAAACGTTTAGTCCGATTTTAAAATGGTTTTTACCATTATAACCAAACTCCAAATCTATACAAACATAATAAAATCAGAATTAGACTAGTCGGTGAGGTTCGACTGAAACCGCCACAGATGGTCACATTATAGATATAAGAATGGGGAAAACGCGCGGGCCTCATTCACACTAAACTTTGCCGTCATGTGGAGGGCCGCAAAATATCGTATTGCGGGCCGCAAATGAACCATGGGCCGCGAGTTTGAGACCCCTGCTTTAAAGTGTCCTTTCCTTTAGAATTTAATATACCACATCAAATATCTCCACAATTTGCTCACAAGCAAATATACTCAAATATAGCTAGACGCAATTATCTCATTTAAAGCTCATGTGTATGTGTGTTACCAATGACAATATGGAACTTAAACAAAGCCAACGTTAAATTTGAGATGTTTTAGGATGATGTTTTAGGATGTGAACATCCCTGAACGTCTCTTTTGGCGCTACCCATTCAAAAGGCTTCTCGATAGTGTTCACTGTGACATCACAGTGTAAACCATTGAAGATATTTACATTACATGTTACCAGCCAATTAGAACCCATTAATTGAACGTGTTGAGTTGAATCTGTACCATCTCAGGTGAGCAATGGAATGAGAAACATCTCGGCGTACGTCCAGCAGAGTGACCTTTTCATCCACACCTTGACTGTCCGGGAACAGTTGCAGTTTAGGGTAATGATGCTACGTCACAGCGAGTATTGATGACTTTCAATGCTACCGCTAACATAATGATGTTAAGTACATCACAAGAAATATCATTGATGAATTTCATTGTTATTCCTAAAAAAAATTGGCTAGTTATGATTATAGCAATGTATGTAAACAATCTGAAATATAACAATGTTTAAACTAGTAGGCGTATATACAGCATCAAGATTTAATTTAAAATTGTCATATATTGTAAAACTATGAGTCTTATCGTAATAGACGATTAAATTTGACCAGGCACTCCTGAGGATGGACAAAAAACTGGACAAAAGGGCGAGACTCGCCAGGGTGGAAGAGGTCATAACTGAGGTAGGTCTTATAGATAGACTTTCCAATTCACAGTTTGGTTTTTGCTGAACGACTTATATCTAGATCTATAGCCAGGCTTCTATGACTTAACAACTGGATGACTGAACATATGTACACCAGTTAGTGAACCAGAATTAAAGCCTTGTGCCTGACTGCCAGAGTGCCTAAGTACCTGAATGCCCGAGTGTCTGAGTTCCAGAGTCCCTGAATGACAGAGTGTCTGTATTCCAGAGTGCTTGCATGCCAGAGTGTCTGAGTACCAGAGTGTCAGAGTGTTTGAATGCTAGAGTGTCTGAGTACCAGAGTGTCAGAATTCTAGAGTGTCAGAGAGCCAGCATGCCTGAGTGCATGTGTGCCACAATGTCAGAGTGCCTGTGTACCAGAGTGCCTGTGTTAATTATCTTATTGTTTTATAGATGGGCCTGCAAGGATGCGCCAACTCTCGTATCGGAGCCGCCCATGGGACAAAGAAAGGAATTTCTGGAGGAGAAAGAAAGAGGCTCTCATTTGCATCAGAGGCGTTAACCAACCCACCCATTTTCTTCTGTGATGAGCCGACATCGAGTCTTGATACATTTATGGCACAGAGCATTGTACACACCTTGCAGGTAAAAATGTTATTATATCTTCTTGGTACAGAGAATTGTGCACACCTTGCAGGTAAAAATGTTATTATATCTTCTTGGTACAGAGCATTGTGCACACCTTGCAGGTAAAAAGGTTATTATATCTTCTTGGTACAGAGCATTGTGCACACATCGCAGTTTGTTTTATTATATCTCCACAGTAAAGAGTATTGTCAACATCTTGAAGTTAAAAATTTACTATCCACCTTCATATTAAACATTAATATCACATAACATTGTCTCATAACATTTTCACATAAACATAGTCACATAACATTGTCACATAACATAGTCACATAACTTTGTTACATAACATTGTCACATAACATTGTCACATAACATTGTCACATAACATTTTCACATAACATTGTCACATAACTTTGTCACATAACATTGTCACATAACATTGTCACATAACATTGTCACATAACATTTTCACATAACATTGTCACATAACTTTGTCACATAACATCTTCAAAACTTGCAGGTGTGAAGTCATCTAATCTAGTTTAATTTTTTTTAAATGGATTTAATAATATATTTAATCTTCTATTCTAGTTACTTGAAAACAAAATATTATAGACATATACTTTATGTATTTTTTTCTGAATACAATATGTCGTGTGTCATGTACTTCCCATATATTCCTATGTCAAGCTGCAGTAACAGTGAAACTAACAAAATGTTAGATTAGCGTTTGAAACATTCACCCAAAAAAAAAAAAACCCAACAAAAAAGAGACATTTCAGTTTAACAAGGCCTATCGATAAATGTGAGACCTGCTGATATGAACATTTCAATATTCCTCTCGTAGAAAATGGCGTCCAGGGGTAGAGTGATACTATGCACCATACATCAGCCGTCATCGGAACTATTTGCTTTATTCACCCAGTGAGTGGTTTTAAGTAACTTTCGTACGACCAGTGAGTATTTTAAAGTAATTTTTGCACAAGTAGGTACTTTTTGGTAGTTTTTGAGCAAGAACAAAACTGTATGCGATTTGTTACACAAATGAATAAACTTCAAGCTATAAAACATATTTAGTTATTTCAAAAAATAAACCACTATTAAATAATTATGTTTGAACTATTTAAAAAACATGATTCCACCACAATTTTCAGAGTACTCTTACTGTCTGAGGGGCGGGTAGCTTTCATGGGTACGTCGCAGGAATGTATCGAGTTCTTCAACAGGTGAGCAGTAGAAAGATAGAAGGAGAACCGGGACATGCCATATTTTTAATGATAATACAACCGCTAGATTATTAGTTTACGGAAAATGAATTGTAATCATTTTAGATTCTTGTTAAAATGAGATTGCAGTGGACCTCATAATTAGAATTTCCTTCATTTGATATTAAGCTGAGCTTAAATTGTAAGCTCGTTTGGTATAAACATTATAATATTTGTAGTATTTAGTATACCAAAAGGAAGATAAGGAGAAGAGAGAGTGAATCATTTTCACCTTAAAATAATTACACATTTATGTATCTCCTTTTATTGAGGCAACACTTCACATGCCCTCCGAACTTTAACCCGAGTGATCACTACATTCTGACACTGGCCATTGTGCCTGGGAAGGAAGAAGAGGCAAGAACAAGAACTAAAGTAAGACACAGATAATCATGACATTGGACATAGGATAAATTATAATCTGAAATCACATGAACATAAGTAGTATTGGATTTGCCTGTGCAACGTTATACAAACGCAATTCAAACGTCATACAAACGTCATACAAACGTCACACAAACGTCATGCAAACGTCACACAAACGTCATACAAACTTCATACAAATTTTATGCAAACTTCACACACACTTCATACAAACTTCATACAAATGCCATTCAAACGTCATACAAATGTCACACAAACGTCATACAAACGTCACACACGTCAAGTCTAGAACTAAATTCTCTTATTAACATTGTATTGCTATTATTGCAGGCCATCTGTGATGGATTCAGTGAGAGCCACCAGGCCAGATATATTGACCAACAGATTGAGACACAGAAACGTGGAGTAGACTTTTCAGATCATATTTTGGTACGTGGACCTGATGGGAGATGTTGCTGTATGGATTTTTTGGGAGACAGTCATATGTGGACATTTTGGGATATAGCTGCATGTGGGCATTGGGGGAGACAGTCGTATGGGGACACATTTTTTAAAGGTAGGGGTATGTGGACAAATTAGGAGATGGAGGAATGTGGACATTTTGAGATTTTAGTGGTATGTGGACATATTGAAAAATATTGGTATGTGAACAATACGAGGTTCTGTTTTGTGAACACTTTGGCAGATCATTTCATTACAGTGTTCTTGTTTACAAAACTATATCTGATAGCATTATCGTTCTACAGCAGTGAATTAGGACCGGTTATCGTTGCAAAATAGCATTGTGAAACCAGTCTCAATGAGACAAGCACTAACCCACCCATTTTTTTTCTTATTGGGTAGCACCTTTGAGCAATGGTATCGAATATAGCCATAATTTAAAATCACCAGGATCGTCAAACTGGTGAATTGATATTACCCAGTAACTGTATAGTTAAACCAGTGAATCGATATAACCCAGTAACTGTATAGTTAAACCAGTGAATCGATATAACCCAGTAACTGTATAGTTAAACCAGTGAATCGATACACACTAGCGTAGAAACGTTTTACAGATTAAAATCGTAAAAATGTTGTTTCAACCTGATTTTAAAAAAAAACGAACCAAAAAAACCAACAAACAACCTTACTTGACAGTACAAGAGATTAGCAGATGTTTATACAGAACTTGAACTTCAAAAGGAACGGTTGAGGCGACAACACTAGACACATTTGTGTCTTTTGCCTCAAGCCTTCAAACCCCTAGTGCATGATTCCGTCACAAAGTGGCACTGGAAATCACTGAAATTTCCTCATCAACACCAGGAACAGAAACATTGCAAATCTCATCTATATGCATAGGAGCCAAAATGATCAATAAATTGATCGTGAGCACTTAAGATATAGAAGAAGAAGAAATCTAAAATTAATTTAAATGAAATTATCATTTTATTCGATTTCAGTTAAACGAAGTGACTGGTGAATCTAGGTAAGTCAATGAACTTTGAAACAGTAAAGCAGGACGGGTCCAAATAGCAGTGCAGAGAGCATGTACCATAATTTTTGGTAGTTAGAGATTAAAAAAAAAAATAACTTCATCATTTGTACGTAGTTGTTGGTCTATAATTTACTAAAAAAATTGTTTATCAGCCTGTTGGTATTTATTGGTGTATGATTTGCTTTATGGTAGATATAATTTGAATCTTTTTAAAAATACACTAGGTATTCGTCTTCCATCGTGTCTCAATTTACGAATTTGTTCTGGAGATCTTGGACCTCTCAATACAGAGACGATATGCTGTTTGGTGTCAGGATCATGCAGACTGTGGTAGGTCATTGGCAGACATGCAAACTGTGGTAGGTCATTGACAGGCATGCAAACTGTGATAGGTCAATGACAGGCAGGCAAACTGTGATAGGTCATTGACAGACATGCAAACTGTGGTAGGTCATTGACAGACATGAAAACTGTGGTAGGTCATTTGCAGACATGCAAACTGTGGTAGGTCATTGACGGATGTGGAAACAAGGGTAGATCATTTACAGACATGCAAATTGTGGTAGGTCATTGACGGATATGGAAACTGTGGTAGGTAATTTACAGACATGCAAATTGTGGTAGGTCATTGACGGATGTGGAAACTGTGGTAGGTCATTTACAGACATGCAAACTGTGGTAGGTCATTTACAGACATGCAAACTGTGGTAGGTCATTAACAGACATGCAAATTGTGGTAGGTCATTTACAGACATGCAAACTGTGGTAGGTCATTGACAGACATGCAAACTGTGGTTGGTCATTGACGGATGTGGAAACTGAGGTAGGTCATTGACGGATGTGGAAACTGTGGTAGGTCATTTAAAGACATGCAAACTGTGGTAGGTCATTGACAGACATTCAAACTGTGGTAGGTCATTTACAGACCAGCAAACTGTTGTGGGTCATGGACAGAAATGCAAACTGTGGAAGGTCATTAACATACATGCAAACTGTGGTAGATGGTTTGATATAACATAAAAGTACACCTGGATCTTGCAGGTATTGAATGTAAATGTATTTATAAAGTTTCAGTGTTAACTGATTAAATATAACTTGTGTTAAATAAAAAGAGATATATCAACTTAAATAAAAGGACAATCACACAGGTGATGGCGTTGGTTCTGGGCCTGGTGTATCTCCAGTTGGACGTTGACCAGAAGGGCGTCATGAACATCAACGGAGCCCTCTTCCTGTTGGTGACCAACACCTCATTCACCAACATGTTCGCCGTCTTGTCGGTAGGTTCAAGAGATCCCATTTCGTGAGAACTCTCGATAAGATGACTTAAGGGTGGGATAAAATGAAGCTGTCATTGGCGAGCCATTCAAAGATGTTTAATTGGATAAAAAGAAATCAAGATGTTAAGTTCCATTTGGACAACAGTGTTTTTGCCCCTGTTTTAGTATATTTACAGTAACACTGAGATCAAGCTACAAGTGCGCCATTTAGTCGGTGAAAAAATGGAAAAAAGTAACCGCCCCCCCCTCACACACACACACACACATTGATCAATGAAATTGTGGCAATATCCTCATAACAACAAACTACGGCCAAGGGAAATACCCCTTAGCCCCCACCCCGGACACGGCCCTGGTGGTGCCTGCTCCCATGTAAGACACGCAGTACGTGACAAATGTATAAGAAATCATAACATGAAAAAAAAGTCCATACCACAAAGGTTGTAATACAACTTTTACCACAAAGGTTGTAATACAACTTTTACCACAAATGTTGTAATACAACTTTTACCACAAAGGTTGTAATACAACTTTTACCACAAAGGTTGTAATACAACTTTTACCACAAAGGTTGTAATACAACTTTTACCACAAAGGTTGTAATACAACTTTTATCACAAAGGTTGTAATACAACTTTTACCACAAAGGTTGTAATACAACTTTTACCACAAAGGTTGTAATACAACTTTTACCACAAAGGTTGTAATACAACTTTTACCACAAAGGTTGTAATACAACTTTTACCACAAAGGTTGTAATACAACGTTTACCACAAAGGTTGTAATACAACTTTTACCACAAAGGTTGTAATACAACTTTTACCACAAAGGTTGTAATACAACGTTTACCACAAAGGTTGTAATACAACGTTTACCACAAAGGTTGTAATACAACTTTTACCACAAAGGTTGTAATACAACTTTTACCACAAAGGCTGTAATACAACTTTTACCACAAAGGCTGTAATACAACTTTTACCACAAAGGCTGTAATACAACTTTTACCACATAGGCTGTAATACAACTTTTACCACAAAGGCTGTAATACAACTTTTACCACAAAGGTTGTAATACAACTTTTACCACAAAGGTTGTAATACAACTTTTACCACAAAGGTTGTAATACAACTTTTACCACAAATGTTGTAATACAACTTTTAAATGATTTTGTTTGGTTCTCTAAGTTAGGCAAAATTCGAACTCTCTAATCTGCAGTCTTTCCCCGAAGAGATGGGTATAGTCATGAGAGAGTACGGTACTGGCTTGTACAGAATAGATCTTTATTTCATCACAAAGACAGTGTCAGAGGTGAGATGTTAGTTAGTACGGTACTAGCTTGTACAGAATAGATCTTTATTTCATCACAAAGACAGTGTCAGAGGTGAGATGTTTGTGTTAACTGGCTTGTACAGCATAAATCTTTATTACTTAAAAAAGACAGTTTCAAAGTTGAGATTGGTAGTGTGGTGCTGGATTGTACAGAATAAATCCTTATTACATCACAAAGACAGTGTCAGAGGTGAGATGTTAGTACGGTACTGGCTTGCATAGGATAGATCTATATTACATCACAAAGACAGTATAGGATAGATCTATATTACATCACAAAGACAGTATCAGAGGTGAGATGTTAGTGTGGTACTGGCTATTACAGGATAGATCTATATTACATCACAAAGACAGTATCAGAGGTGAGATGTTAGTGTGGTACTGGCTATTACAGGATAGATCTATATTACATCACAAAGACAGTATCAGAGGTGAGATGTTAGTGTGGTACTGGCTATTACAGGATAGATCTATATTACATCACAAAGACAGTATCAGAGGTGAGATGTTAGTGTGGTACTGGCTATTACAGGATAGATCTATATTACATCACAAAGACAGTATCAGAGGTGAGATGTTAGTGTGGTACTGGCTATTACAGGATAGATCTATATTACATCACAAAGACAGTATCAGAGGTGAGATGTTAGTGTGGTACTGGCTATTACAGGACAGATCTATATTACATCACAAAGACAGTATCAGAGGTGAGATGTTAGTGTGGTACTGGCTATTACAGGACAGATCTATTTTACATCACAAAGCCAGTGTGAGAAGTGAGTTCCTAAACAAAGTCGTACAGTTACATGACATGACATGACATGACATGACCAAGTCGCTTTAGCTGATGAGGCATTTTTTAATGAGGTGTCGTAATGACCGTATGTCAACATATGACACTCAATCAAACGTGTCAGCACGTAACATTCAATTAAGCATGAGAGCGTATAACGCTCAATCAAGCATACCAGTACATAATATTCAATCAGTCATGTCATTACTTAACATTCAATCAAGCATATCAGCAGTTAAATTCTATCAAGCGTATCAGCAGTTAAATTCTATCAAGCATATCAGTGCATACCATTCTGTCAAGCATATCAGCACACAACATTCATTCAAGCATTTCAAAATCTTTATTTGTGAATTATTCACTTCCTTACACAATGCCTTACATTAGTAGGAAACAAACTCATCACAATGACGTGCTGATGTGAGCAGAATTCTTTCATTGACTTAGACATTCATTTTGATTCATTTTGATTCATGTTATACAAATTTGCATGTATTTCAGCTGCCTCTGTTTACATTCGTAACTCTTCTGTTTGCTACCACAACATACTGGATGATGGGTAAGTCAGTTAATATGATGGGTAAGTCCGTTAATGTGATGGGTAAGTCATTTAATATGATGGGTAAGTCAAGTAATATGATGGGTAAGTCCGTTAATGTGATGGGTAAGTCATTTAATATGATGGGTAAGTCAAGTTATATGATGGGTATATATAAGTCATTTAATATGATAGGTAAGTCACGTAATATGAAGGGTAATACAACTATACATATCACTCGAACTTTATGCTCCTAAGTCATATAAAAATAAGAAAGCACTGTCCAGCGGATGTATTAATTTATATGGGTAAAAAGTCAATTTTTCATGATAAAAAAACAGAATTTAAAAGACCCAGAGTTTTATGAAACAAAAACCACAGACTTTCCTGTCAATTATCCAGATTGCTGATGGGTTAAATGTGTAATCATGGTGTTTTCTAATCTCTCAGGTTTTAGGGAAACATTTGAGGCGTATGTCATCGCTTGTGGCATAACATTGGTGGCTGGCATTATATCCGTCAATGTTGGTAAGTAATGGTGTCATCACGTCTGTCAATGCTGGTAAGAAATGCTGTCACGGGTGGTGAATTATGATGTCAATGTTCCAAAGTAATGATGCAAATGTTATAAAGTTATCCTGTCTATGTTGTTAAGTTATGATGTCAATGTTGGCAAGTTATGATGTCAATGTTGGTAAGTTATGATGTCAATGTTGGTAAGTTTACTTTTTGCGGACCATGTCTCACTTATTGCGGACCATGTCTCACTTATTGCGGACCATGTCACACCTTTTACTGACTATGTCTCACTTGTCAACTCCTTGTTTCTACTAGATTGGTAAATTCATCAAGTTCTTTCACACGTTGAATTACGTCGTACTAATATTGAATCAACTCAAGTTTTTTTTTGGTCACAATAATATCTTATAATTAGATCAGGCTGTAAATTCCAAAGACAAATGCATATAGCGCAGACAGAAATCAAACACATCCAGCTTCCACAAAGTTCCATTCACGACTGTCAGACTAATAAAGCGTACGTCACAATACGGACTAGACAATATGTCATAATGAGCATACAAATACGTCACCAAGTCAAGCACGGGAAGAGTGTTCACTAAATAATAAAACGCTCAAACACACCGCGTGTAAGGAAATATAATATTAATTCGCAACAATTATTATTGAAATTCCATACTCGAAATCACCTTTTACTGATCATGTCTCACTTTTTATGGACCATGTCTCACTTTTTACGGACCATGTCTCACTTTTTACGGACCATGTCTCACCTTTTACGGACCTTGTCTCACTTTTTACGGACAATGTCTCACCTTTTACGGACCATGTCTCACCTTTTACGGACCATGTCTCACTTTTTACGCACTATGTCTCACCTTTTACGGACCATGTCTCACTTTTTATGGACAATGTCTCACTTTTTATGGACCATGTCTCACTTTTTACGGACCATGTCTCACTTTTTACGAACCATGTCTCACCTTTTACGGACCATGTCTCACCGCGCTGTACATGCAAATTTTACCAAACATAGTAATGACTTAAAAAAATAACATATATTTTAAAAAAAAACAGCTGTATAACAACAAAACAAAAACAAGTGTATATTCACCCCACCCACCCCAGAACTTTTACACATCAAGCCATGGGCGGCACCCAGCTGCATCGTTTATCGGTCAGAGGGTGGAATCATTCGGGATAGTAGAGTTTAAAGAGATGTGTTTTGAGTTCAGTTCTCAAGGCCTGGGTGGTCGGTAGATTGCGGATGTGGATTGTGAGAGAATTCCATAGGGGGGGGGGAGCAGAACGAGAAACATCGATCACCGTATGTTTTAGTGCGTGTCTTGGGAACGGACAGAGTATGCGTGTCTGCGGAAGAGCAAAGCTGTCGAAGGGGTGAATGGACAGATAGAAGTTCGGTTAGATAAATTATACTGTGCTGTTGGCGATAAACTTTTAGTGAACTAACTAAGCTAGTCTCAAACAAGCAACAAACCTATGTGTATGGTGTTCTTAAACGCTATGAGAAAAATCTCGAAGTAACTCCTGGCAAGCACCACTGTCTCAGTTTACTAATACCGCTGTCTCAGTTCACTAGTATCACTGTCTCAGTTCACATTTACTTCTAATATTTTTTTAAAAACATCTTTCAACAGGCTATTTGATATCTGTGATAACAGGGGACACAACTTTAGCCTTGTCAGTCACCTCCCCTGCCATCATTCCTTTTCTGCTGTTTGGTGGTGTCCTGTTGAATCCAGAGTAAGCCATCTTCATCAAATACCTAACTTTGGGATGAACTATTCGCTTTTCTTAGGATAATATAACTAACTATTTAAAATATATTATCATTCATGTGGATGTCCATGTTCATTCCAGCTCCACCCCCGACTACTTCATATGGCTGGAGAAACTCTCCTGGTTCAAGTACTCGTATGAGATTCTAATGGTTAACCAATGGGAAGATTACGATTACATTGGTGAGAATAACCAATCAAAATAATGATTACACTTACATTCACTTCAAATGCTCGTCAGTCTGGGATGAAAATGATGAAATATAAAATACTATTTTTTTCTTGAAAACACAAGAATGTAAATGTAAACAATTAAAGGTATTTAGAGAATTAAAAAAACAAAAAATTATAAAATGTAGATACAATTTACTTGAAAGGAAATATTCATGAGAGGATTTAGTCAAGCTTTCGGCCAATCCGCTCGTCATGTGGGTTTTGCTCTATAATTTAGCTTTCATGTTGCTCTTTTTTGTATATCTCAGTGTTAAAATGTAGAGGTCCATAACGCAAGCTCTACAATTATAATTTCCACTAAAGCAGTTCATCGGCACAGTCTGCTTATTCTGAAACAATTGCTTATACAAACAATAAGTGTTTTAAACAAATTGCTTATCCTTCCATTATTTAAGACTTAAAAGAATCATATTGAAAACAACATTAAGTTTATTTAGGATGGATTGTATCAAAGGATTATTTTCTTTTATTAAACTGTCCCCTATCTCACTCAGAATGTGAGAACTCAACGGCTATCTACAACGTCACCGACCAGTGTCCATCTGATGATTGTCTATTTCGCAGCGGTCAGGACGTCCTAGATTACAATAGTTTGGACAAGGTATGTAGAACAACTTTAATGCAACATAGATTTCTCATGAAACTTTTAGGTTAGAGCGCAAAATGATGATGGCATGATTAAAGAAACATTAAACAATTATTTTAACCAACAATGCAGCCGTTAGGAGAAGATAGCAAATTTTCATCTGTATCTGTTTACAATGTTAATATTTAAAAAAAAAAACGTTGCTTTTTAAACGTTCAATTTTAGGACAATATTGGAGAAGATTTGGGTATCCTTGGAGCTTTGTGGTGTGGCATCTACCTGCTGTCTCTGATCTGTCTTATCATCAGAGCAAGGCTGTCCAAAGAATAACTTCACAATCTGACATCAATATTTAAAACACATTTGGAAACTATGTTACTTTATAATGTCTTGGTGAAAGACCTAACCAGTTAAAAATACTATGTAAAATAGAAATGTATGTAATATTTTTAGATTTAAAATGGGTTTGAAATGTGTACAATAACATTTGACGTGAAATAATGCAATCTTTGGCATGCGTAAAGCTTAGAGCAACTTGAATGACGTTAACTAGAATCAGTAAATATTTTGCATTTTCATTTGTCTTTAAATTGTTTTTTTTAAGGAATTTGTTTGATGAATATAGTTTACAATGTTTGATGAATATAGTTTACAATGTTTGATGAATATAGTTTACAATGTTTGGTGACTATAGTTTACAATGTTTGATAAGACATGTAAAAGATGGACAAGAGTTTGTTCATAAAAGGTTTGTCCTGAATGTCTGCAAACGTTGGTGTGTATGCACCGTAGACAAGACATGGTTGCTTAAAGATTTGGATTGATCTGACATTTCTTCATGCAATTTAGTGTTAGATGCACGTGCTAGCAAAAAAAACTATATTTGAGATGTAATGACACAAAAGGGTGAGGAAAGTGGTTGCGCTGTGGTCGGCTATTCGTCTCGAAAGTCGAAAGTTCCAAACCTTTACGTTTCGCCTTGTAATTGCTTATACGTGTCACCCTTAAACTGGCCAGGCGCAAACACAAGTGATGATCAACTATGTATTTCCAATTGTGAATGTTGTTTCACTGAGTAGCTGGAATGTCAGGGATATTTAAAATAAATACTAATCAAATGCGCGTGTGTGTTCACTGACAGCTTCGTGCCATCACATACAATAAGACTGGTCGGCTGGAACGTGAACGGTCAAGGAAATGAAATGGGGTCAACGGAATTTTTGTGTTTATTTAAATTTTTGCCTAGAAGATGCGAAAGAAAAATGTGGAAAAAAATAAATACTTTGGATGAAATGATTTTTCTTGGTTTCTTTTTGATGTCCGTCGAGCAAACTAATGTTGGACAAACACTCCAGCGTACAAAAAGGTTTCAAACTTCGAACAAATTAGTATCGAAAAAAAATTGTGTTTCAACAAATCGTTTTCGAAAAAAATTATTTCGACCAATTGGCTTTGTACTAATTATCGGATACGCTGAAATTAAGTGAAGAGCTCCTATATCTTCTTCAGTTTTCCTGTTCATTCTATAAGTTAACCATTTTGTAAAACGCATTTGTGCGTAGATTTGTGCATCAATAAATTTAAACGAGCTTGATATAAATTGATAGCAAGCTACGCCTAAAGACTTAACAATGTTGGTATCTGTCTTAGTGGACGGTGGCTAAGTGACATGTGGCGGATCTGGAACATTGCGTCTTTTTTTTTTCTTTAAAAAATGACAGCCCCTCTGGGTGTCGGGGTGTGAAGTGGGGGTTGGGGGTGGGGGTGGAGGCTACCCGTGCGTTAGTAATTATTTGTTGTGTTAAAATTTAATTCTTTTTCTCCGGAATTAATCTCCGCGTTCTGACGGAATTATCCATTTTGCCTATATGATCTATCTAAACCATTATAAACTTTTTGTTTTTCACCAAAAAATGTTAAGTTTGGCATGGAATTAAATGGGGGGCTGCATGCTCTTGACAGATAATACAGACTTGGGTTTCAATTTTAATATATAGATGTGATGATGATTTAAGGAAAATAAAACTTTTAAATAAAAAAAAACTCACCAACTGTTCAGTTGAAACCGCTCATTCAAGGTCACACAAAAGAGGAATGTATAATCCAATGTGTAACTAAAATGTGTTTTTTTTCTTCTGAACTATATCCAACTGTGCATCACAAACATAAAAGATCAAATTGGAAAAAAGAAAAAAAAAATTAAACACCAGAGCACATTTTCTATTGTCACCGACACAACAAAAAAATATTTCCGAAAAAGTCTAACTATCTCCAATGGAAACAATCTGTTGCTGTTAGAAATTCTTCTTCTTCTTCTTCTAAATCTTAAGGGCCCACGATCAATTCATTGATCATTTTGGCTCCTATGCATGTAGATGGGATTTGCAATGTTTCTGTTACTGGTGTTGATGAGGAAATCATGCACAAGGGGTTTGAAGGCTGGAGGCCTCAACTGTTCCTTTTGAAAGCTTGTTCCAGTCCCTGATTGTCTTGGGCAGGAATGAGCAGCTCATATACTGGCTTCTTGCTGGTATGAGCCTGAATTGCCTGTCATGGCCTCGTCGCTGTCTATGGGGGAGAGGGACGAGTTTCTGTTTAATACTGGACCAGTGGACCAGCCCATTATTTATCTTGTACATCATGGAGAGCCTGAATTGTCTCCTTGTATGTACTAAAATTTATTATGATTAATGGAAAAGTTACCATAAATTTGGCATATGTTCACACCAATATGGTAAGACCGAAAACAATTCTTATGGAGATGCGGCCTTGACTCACATTGACTCGTCTACCAGTACAGTTGGCCCTGTTCTATGTTTGCACACTGTCCTCTTTGGAGCTAATAGGCTCATGTTTTGCTCTGATAAGTCTTGTTGGAGTGTTGATGTTAATTCTGTAGGAAGCATACTCATTTATTGAGAGTACAAGCTTCTGAACAATACATTTTGTCTAGCAAAGTAAAAAAAAAAAAGGCAAGGTCATTTGATTTACTAGTCACAATAAAAGCTCAAAAGTTTACACCTACATTTTTCAAAGGTAAAAATATGAACTTGCACTCAGTTTTAGTGCAGCTTTCCTTTTAGAATCTACATTATTGATAGTAGGAACAGTATTAGCTAAAGCACTAAAGCTGATGGTGGGGCTGGTTGTTCACCAGCTGAGGAATTACCAATTTCATTATTTCGTCACTAGTACTACTAGGACCAATATTATAATTATACGATTCATCAGAATCAGTTCTACATTCGAAAATCATAAAATCATTGTCTGAATCATCATCAGGGTAATATTTTCAATCTTTATTAGATCGATCACCAGATGGGTCAGGGCAAGATTTCATGTTTGTAAACAAAAATAAAATGGACAATCTGAACAGCCGTTCCGAAGACTTTGTTCTATGTCAATAAAAATAAAATGGACAATCTGAACAGCCGTTCCGAAGACTTTGTTCTATGTCAACAAAAATAAAATGGACAATCTGAACAGCCGTTTCGAAGACTTTGTTCTATGTCAACAAAAATAAAATGGACAATCTCAACAGCCGTTTCGAAGACTTTGTTCTATGTCAACAAAAATAAAATGGACAATCTCAACAGCCGTTTCGAAGACTTTGTTCTATGTCAACAAAAATAAAATGGACAATCTGAACAGCCGTTTCGAAGACTTTGTTCTATGTCAACAAACAAAACAGTTCAAGAAGAGAAATACCGGATGTTTTTCAAAGGGAAATCATTTCAGATTAGATTTAATATAACTAAAAACCAATAGCTAAGACAGGTTTTTATACATCGACGATGACATCTTCGATCCACCAGAAACCTCCATTCATATCGACGATAGGAGCGTTGGTCCTGAGAGGAAGAGTTAAAAAAAGAAAACATTTATTGTGGAGATTATTAAATGAAACACTCCGTATCCGTCGTTGTGACGTGACTTCCGGCATAAAACATGTGTACAGGACATGAGAACCACTGTTGTTATGTGTAGGTTGGGTGTTCGTATCATAAATCAGTCTTTGAAAACTGGCATTGTTCCATCCTCTTCTAAAGAGGTGGTTGTAACGCCACTGCTAAGGAAAGCTAATCTCGACCCAAATGTGTTGGACAAATAATCACCCCGTCTCAAATCAACCATTTGGATCCAACATTGTAAAGAAAGTCGTTCTCCGCCAGCTCCTGGACCATCTCACTCAATGACCTTCTGTCATCTTGTGGTGAGGACAGGGTATCCCTTTTGTTGTGACTTGATCTATCAGCAGCATTTGATACGCTTGACCACGGCATGCTTCTCAATCGTCTGCAAAAAACGGTAGGTTTCATCGATACCGTCCAAGCAATCGGCTTGACCTCGAAGCAATCTTTATTGAATTCGGAGTACCCCAGGGCTCGTTCTTAGGCCCCGTGCTTTTCACTATGTACGTTCAGCCCATCTGTGCATTGATCAAGCTGTTTGATATGCTATCCATGTTCGTGGATGATACCCGACAGCAACAATCCGTGATTCCCTCTCAGTTCCCTCAGCTTCTTAGTATGACACAGAAGACAGTGGAGTCAGTGAAGCACTGGATAAACATAAACAAGCTCAAATTGAACGATTAAAAGACCAAGCTGATCCCCATTGCTACCACCGAAAAGCTAAAATCTGTAAATAACACACCATCCATTACTGTCTTAGGTATACAGATTGAGTTGGCTCAAATAGTGCGAAACCTGAGTGTCTACTGAGACAGAACACTAACTATGGAAAATCACAATAACATGCTTTGCAAGGCGATTTTTCTAGAGCGGCGCAGAATTAGTAATATCAGATCTTTTTTGACGTTTGATGCAACAAAGAGGCTGATGTCTGCATTTTTGCTATCACGAATGGACTGCTGCAATGCTCTCATGGTGGGTCTTCCAGCTACACTCCTGGACAAAATTTTAAAAATCACAGAATAATGAGGCTCGCATTGATGTTCGCAAGCATGAATTTGACCATGCTAAGTCACTTCTGAGAGAGTTGCATTGGCTGCCGGTGCTCGCTCGCATAGAGTACAAAAACGCAACTCTGCTACCGCTGCTTGCATGACCTGGCATCGTCCTATCTCAAAGAGCTGCTGACACCTTATCTACCCACTAGACAGCTCCGCTCATCCGATAGTGGCAAACTCTCGATACCATGTGTTTGCCTTGAGACTTACCGAAGGCTCACTTTCGCATTTGCTGGCCCAACAATTTGGAACCTAATTTCTGTCGCTCTCAGAAACAACAAGACACTGGATCTTTCCAAACCGATTTAAAAACATATGTATTTCGAAAACACCTGCTGGGATGATGTTGTCTGCCATCTTTTTCAGCTAACTATTATCTCCTAAATGTGTATTGGCCGGTGTTGTTTATGGTTGCAAGGGATGAAAGACTTAGAATGGGTATTCTCGTATGTAGTTTTTGTAATGTTGCGTTTTGTATTTCAATGTGGTAGAATATAGATTTTTCATTTCTCTTTTAATATGGTTGACTTTGTACCGCGCTTCGAGCCTTTGTGGGTGAAGCGTGATTTGCAATCAAACTTTATTATTATTATTGTGTAAAGTATGTGTGACGTATTTGGGTAGGGAGAAATGACGCGTAAGTTATTTTGTTAATATAGTGGATAGATGACCGTTGTAGGATATTCACGGCGTAGCTTATTTTGTGTTATAAGGATTTCGGCTAGATGTATCGTTAAAGGAGAGCGTTGATTTGTTTAAGAATTTGATAGTTAGTACGGTATACATTACTCCGTCAGGTTTTGGCGATGTATAATAAACGTATAGCGTTATAACTTATATCAAGAAATACAGTGTTTGGTGTATTGATATCAGTTACACTAGTCCATGTGAAGGAGTGAGAGATTATAATATCCCACAAGTAAGTATCTGACTTGAAAGGTTTGATGGACACAAGGCAGTAAGTTCTACATCTAGTCAACATGCTGACTTAGCAACTCATACGTTTAATCATCAATTAATCATCAATTAACCATCAATTTTATGAAAATATGGGAAGAGAGGTAGGGAGTCATCGTAATGTATGACTCTAGGGCAGGACTGCACAACTCAAAATGTAAGGCGGGCCTTAATACTGCATGAAAAACTTGTGCGGGCGGAAAGAAAATAGGTCCAGAGTGGGAGTTGGCGATTAAGAAAATAATAATAATAAAGAATATTTCGTTACTTACGAAGTAAATTTCATGTGACACAATACATCGTTTTTCGGTAACAAGTTTGTCGTATTCAGGAGATATATTGGAAGTGGATGTTCTCAAGATGGTAAGTAGTATCTGTGGGCAGCACTTC